GGGTCCTGAAAGGATATGCCAAAAATGTGGAGTCTGATGGGGCGGCCGCGTAAGATGGGCGTCTTCATAATGCCCGGCCCGGCATCTCACTGGTCTCAACTTGGGACTGCTTCACTTGTGCTTTGCACTGGATTTGCCGGTTCCCTTGCCTTCAAGTTGGCAAGGAGAGGTGGCTTTGAGCAGTTGCGCGCACCATGATCTACGCTCAGGCAAAGTGAGCACTGGTGGACGCGACTGGCATCCTTGGCACATTGGCCGTATTTGTTGGTTTCACAACAAGTATCTAAGTACTTGTTGAAATCGGGGCAGAGCTCCACACCTCGACGGTTGGTCAAATATTGACCGTCATCCGCATTGCGCACGCGCTGCTCCCTCCTCAATTTTGAACCTGGCTACTGTTTGGCCTGTGGCTCACGCTGGCATGGAAGGCGTCACCCTCCACAACGCTGCTCAAAGCGCTGAGCGACTGATGACCAACAAGCAAGGGTCCTCCAGCTCTTCCTTCCAGAACCGGTTGTCCTCAATCAATGCTTTCAATGCCCACTCCCATGGCTTGGCCAGATCATCCAGCTGCATCCGCTGCGGCCTTGGCTTCTGCGCCGGTTCTTCGGCATCGCTCCCAGTGCTCTTGCCGTGCTCAGACGTCTGCTTGATTGAAATAGCAGGCGCCAAACTGCAGAACCGTACCGAACATGGTACTTCTTAAATGTGTTGCGGTAGGCATCACACCGTGTTGGAGAGAAAAATCCCCAACATCACTGCTGCCGCTTGGAAGACCCTGAAACAGCCCTCCCACTGCTCGAAAGAACCTGGGCCTGCCATCTCGACAACTTGGAATTTTTTCATGGGGCAAAATTTACGTTCCCCTGAGCTTCAACTTCTTCAGCAGGCGGTATTGGCGCGGACCCCACACGGCCAAATCTACGAACGGCGGGGGCCCCAGACCCAACTAGTGCATGAAGAGCGGTCAACTGTTCTCCAGCAAACTCTTCATCACGCGGCGGGTAGTCGCCGAGCGCAGCCTGAAATCTTTGATATGCCTTGGCAATCGCTTGCCTCGCAGAAGATGTTCTTCCGTATCATTGGTTTGATCAATGACCGTGCAAAGCTTGATCTTCTTCTTTGGCTGAACATCAGATGACGGGGTTGGGTCGCGCCATCAGCTCTCGGCACTTGCCAGGTCACCAATGTACGTAGACTCATAGTCAACTTCTGGGACAATGCCAATGACTCTAACCAAGGAGTCATTGTGGACTCCGAGAAGTGTCCACAAAGATTTGCGGACATCATTGTCTGGCAATGTGGCCCAGTCTGCTGGCTTGATTTTGGCAGCATCGTCCGGGCTGAAGTTCATATTTGGTAACAGGCTCCAATTCACAGCGAGATCGAGGGCCGAGTCTAACAAAATTTGGGGCCTTCACCTGAGGAATCTTCAAAGGATTGCAACTTGGTTTCACGAGCTTTGCAGCTTGGCAAACGCAGACGCACTGGAATATACTTGCATTGTTAAACTAGACAAAGCAGCCATTGATCCAGTATCCGATGAAAAGCAGCATGTGCCAAGACGGGAATACGTAACGACGCCACGCTGCTGGGCCAAGTCATCCTGGGGCACCTGTACCACACCTTGCAGCAACTTCGTGACTCGTGCGTTTAAACGCCCCCGCATCAAAACTGGCTTACGTAACTAGAGATCTCATACAAAATCTCCCGCGCTTTTTTGCCGTCAGCAGAGTAGATCACTGGTTGAGGAGCGCTGTAAAGTTTGTTACGCAGCTTACGCCAAAGTCTGACGCCCAAACAGTAAATCGCTGCTGGCAAACCCCAAGGCTGTGCGCTGGAAAATGGCCTGAACGAATGGAAAGTTCAGCTTCGGCTGCCGTCTAGAGATCAACAAATGTTCCAACGCCCAAGCTTGTTTATAGCCTGAACAAGAAGGAATGTTGATGAGATTTGATGAGCGTAAGATGGGAAAAAGCAAGACTTCTCGCGGGAGCAACCTGGCTTGCGCCTCCTGACTCTGTCCTCCAATTTACGCAGAACAGTCATGCTATTGGCTTCAAGCAACGCAACTGACACAGAAGCCGACCGAATGTACATCATTGCGGAGGGCCGGCGATAATGACCAACACTACTACACGCTCTCCAGCCCGCAGCTACTTTGATATACGCCGCAGGAGGATCGGAGAATATCGGCCAAGAATAACGCAACGGAATTACGCAGATACTCTGTAACTTCAATTGTAAGACATAACCTTATCCCATGACAACGTTCTCGGGTCCTGGAAGTGAAACAGCAACATCAAATCAAGAAGTCCTTGTGAGCAACTCAAATCTGCCTTCGGAAGATGCTGACACTCCTGCTTGAACAGTGTAAAAGCCAGCCCAAGCAAAATACAGCATGCAACAAGCGCTTCCGCTCAATCACGCACGAATGCGGGCTGCTTTCTGCTTGCCACGCGAGCCACACTGCTTGAAACTTTGCTACGGCAGAGGTTTGCGATGTTCATACGAGCTGCAAATTTCGTCTCATGGCCAAAAGAAACCACAGCATCAATCATTTCATTCTTGTCAGGGCTCACTCAAAAGGCTCACCAAATAATTGCAATGCGTTGTAAGCTCACGGACCTTGCCCTTGTACTGAGGCTTGGGCGACTGCAACCCCTTGTCAACATGTCCATTGGAGACACTGGTGGGTTTGTTGTCTTTCAGGGAGTTGACTGGCTTTCCAGACAACAGAGCGCGAACCTCACGAGCTGCGCTTCTTGGAACCTTTCGGAGCCTGTGTGTCACTCATGGATGATCGCGAAAGCTCACCACGGGAGGCTCATCAGTCAGACGAAGGCTTCTGCGGAGAAAGCATCATTCCTGCCAGTGCGCATGAACTGAGGAGCCTGCTTCTGCTTGTCATGAATAGCATAACTGATCCGTGTGCTTTTAGGCACGCAACAGCAATTGCACTAATGTCAAGTTTGGCTCGCGAGCTTTTAAGAAGCTGAGAAACCAAAACGCCTTCCACAGGACTATGTGTGCAAGCCAAGGACTTTTACTTGTAGCGGCCTTCGGACCGCATTCGAAGAGAAAACTCACTCATTCCACAAAAACACATCTCATGCCTCAATCGGTCTACCTGCCAACTGTGCTTTTCTGAACCAGTCAGTTGCTTCACGACTGGAAAGAACTGATGATTGCCCGCTCCAAGCGAGGTGGAATCAACGAGTGTAACATCACAAGGTTGACAGAAACGCTGGCTTTGACGGGGCTGGAGCATAAAGCGTCAACATACTTGGCTCCAGATCCTTCAGACCTGCAGCTACGGGAAGGACGATTCCATTTGGACTGATTTTGCCTTCCAAGTCAGCACATTTCTGCCACCGGTCTGACTGCCACTTGCTGCACGTGCACACAACTCGTGGATGAAGATTAACAAACCACCTAATAGCTGAATCAGGTCTGTTCAGCTTCTGAACAAATGAACATTTGAATACATCAATGCACTGCCTTCTGCCAAAGTACACTGATCAGGGGGTAACGACTGGCCATCAACATGACCATGTTTCAAGCAGACACAAACAGTGCGGTAAACGAATAGTGCTTGCGCAGATCTCCGAACCAAGTAGATTCCTTCTCACATCTGACATGTGCGACTGCAAAACATCTAAGCAGATAGTGTACCAACATGTCTGACATGTACTGGCCCTTAACACCTGGTTTCGGACAAAGAAAAGCTCCACACTTTGCAAGTACGTCACTGGGCGTCCCCAATGATATCCTCACCACATACAGACCAGCTTTGTTAGCACAGGAGTCTGTATGGATGCCCCTGCCCGTGCACTCTGAACTCTTGGTAACAAAGATTGATACAAATTACATGGCTGCAGACTGTCAGTTCCACCTATTGACACGGATGCTTTCTATCGAAGCCCTTTATGCCAGCAAGCTGCCACATTCAAATGTTCAGCTTCACGTGGCAAAACCGTCAGAGCGAAGCTCGTCGTAATCATGGAGTAGATCAGCTGGAAGGCTGTAATGCACAGCCAAAAGGCCATGCCTTCTTTCACCGTGTCAGGTTGGCCAACAACAGAACTGCTAGCAATGCGAATCATGCGCAGCAACATCTTGCACACATATACAAGCTTTTCAGCCTCTGTTGCGCCTGTCCGACTTGTGCGAGGAGTGGCAGGAGTGGTAGCTTTCCTGCCATAGCTTATCATAGCTTGAAAGCCCGATATGTCGCAGCAGTGCCACACGCTTGGCAGCATGATAGAGCTTACTGAAACGGTTTTTTTTTTTTGCTGTCATGTACGGCACTTGAACAGAGTCACTGGGTTCCTACACCCCCGCAAAGCAGAGGCTTCAAACGCTTCCAAGACATTACTTGTGATCGCTGAAGTTGTGCTACAAAAAGCTGGCGTGCGCCAACGGTGCCACAGCGACAGATACCGGCCTGGAGATCCTGACATAGATGCGGCGTGGTTGCTTCCATCCGTCTGCATAATATGTACACTAGATCGCGGAATCGGAGGACACTTGAGCCGAAAACATGGTCGACCAGAGACCAAGCGTGATTGAACATTGCGGTAGCAGATTTGGCCAACTATAGGCGGTGGAAAGATCATGGGCACCGGCTACTTCTGGGCATCTGCGTGTCCAGATCCAAGGATTCTGGTTGCAGCTCGACTTGCAAAAGCAGACTTCAAGCCGGTCCGGCGAGCTCAGTTGACCGAGACTTTTTTCATTGCGCAGCCGAAGTGACTGGCGGTCCAGCACCGATTGGCCGGACGCATCGCGCCCTTGGCAGGATCACCCGCATCTTCAAATCAGACACTAGCCGCGTGATTTGCTCTGCTACGGTGTCCGACTCTCCGACCCATGCATGTAAAGAACATGCGCATTGTTAAGCAAGGCCCCGATGTCACTGTGGCCATCTGCATCACTGGTTTTCAATTCCATGCATGTACGGCTGCAGAAGCCCACGCAACTGAGTGCCAGGCTTGCCTTCACATCCAGGATAGTCTGTGAATCTGTCAGCCCAAGACGATTTTCATTGGTTTTCCTTACATCGTGTCATGCAACTTGTCTGATGGATGATGCACCTGATAACCAACTCGCTGCTGGCTTTTTTGGCCTGCGGATAAGAGCCCACCACGGCCACCGTTGTTGATTCACCGGGAGCATGTAGGGATTGCATGTGGGCTTCGGCTGACATCGCTTTAGGGATGCCAGACACCTGCTCAAACAAATAGAGGAACGGAGGAAGCAGATGGAAACAGCCAATAAGCATTAATTGAATTGATTCAAGTTTTAAGCATTCTGGCTTGGGGGCTCAGCAGCTGGTGTCTCAATGCTTTTGATGGACTCGTTACTCTGCCCGTACATCCAAGGCCAACGACAAAGGTTACTTTATGTTGTCATCCGTTCGTGCTTAACGAATGCCAACATTATCGTCTTGGTTTTCAAGAGGATTCAAGCGAGCATGCAAGGCACAGCCGTGGTATCATGAAGCTTGTTTGATGGAACCCTCACCGATGAAGCAGCATACTGTATGTTCTGATGCTCGGCTTATAACAAGATGCAACCATGGACCATGACCGCACAGGAACCCCGCAAAAAGTCCAGTTCAAGAACGGTACAGCTCAAAACCAACAGGAATGATTCTGGCTTGCCCAGTTTTTACACGCAGCAGTTACTTGACTACCAACAATGACTGAATAGGTTTGTCAAAGTGCCAGCGAGCGCTGGGATGCCAAGGCGTCACCATCGGAAAGTTTTAGGGATCTGCTTTCCAGGAGCTGTGTTGGAGTCAGGCCGTCTCGGGATGACTTTCGTGGGGCCTAGATGCTTCGGCAGTCCAACTGTGCCCTGACACAAGGGGTACTTCTCAATGCTCTTGCAAGTGGACCACTTTCAAGTCTTTTATTGTTCAGCGCCGAGAAGGGGATGCGAACTCGTTCGGAGATCTCACAATTTGCAAGTTACCCGTACTCATGCAAGATTGGCCTCTTCAGCTCGGCCAGAAGTAGATGCGCAGGCACACCAGCTCTCTTCCTGGAGGTTATGCGAGCGAAAGGCAAGGTAGTAGCATGCAGCCCACTACACAAGGTGGCCTATCGACATGCAGCCCCAAAGGCAGGATCAAGAGCCCTGAAGAGAGACATGATGGTGAGTGGGGTGTGAGATCCCACAAGCATGATCCAACATGTGGCGGTTGTTCAAAATTCCTTTTCTGGGATTTGGCCAACTTTAGCCAAAAAAACGAGTAATCCTTTCACGTCTTCTTTCGTGAAACTTTCGCGGAGCCTATTTTAACATGTGGGTCAACTTGGGGTATCAACAACCCTGAGAACTTACGGGATTAAAGACGGAAGCGCCAAGACCATGGCTTGTAAGGCTGGGGGC